GGGCTCTTCCACAAGTCCTTCAAAATGATGGGAGCCATCACATTGACATAGTTAGTATAAACGCCCAGCCATTTTCCATTATGGGACAATCACGTATTAAAACCCACACAGGCAGTCAGCACAGTCACATTTGAAGTAGAGAGAGATGTGATTGAGGAGCAGCTAGACCAGTGGTTGCAGGTAATGGTACTATTATTATAGCTAGCCAGTGTATGTTGCACTTCAGTCAACTATTCCTATACAATAGGATCTCTTGTGGGAGAAGACTCTTTGCAACTCGGATGGTGACCCAATGAACATAATGAGAATGAAGGTCAGCAAGTTACGGGCCATTAAAAAAACCTTCCTTACAACGTGTCTTGCATGCCCTTATAGCTCTTTACACACAAGCGTGTGCTGTTCAATTCTCAGGCATAGTGTGTTAGATAGGAGGTGTGGTGCATGAGCTGCAAGGGTATTATTACGTAATCTGACATGCAGGGAGTTCTATCAGTGGTGGGTGAGAGCAGGAGAGTGATAGTGCAGGGAGTGTACGAGCTGTTTGAGAAAGAAAGATCTACAGAGTGGCACGACCAGCCCAGGCTAAACAGACTGGTCTTCATCGGTATTATATATACCGCTGTAATACATAGACTGTGTAATTCACTTTTGATTTGTGATGCAGGTTACAATTTAGATCGGGAAATTTTACTGCAATCATTCAAGAAATTCTGTTTATAACAATACCTACTCTTTATGCTGCATCTCACAGTTGATCATATGTTCTGTCCCAGTATAATGACAATCTGTTAGGAAGTGAGGGGAGATTTTACCAGAATTTGCCTGTCTTGTTGTTTCTCGATCTCTTCCAATTTCTGCCCGGATTACCAGGGGCAAATGGGAGCTTTCTCTTCTTTGCCTGCGAGCTGGCGTGACAACTGGCGTGTAGCTGAGCTGGGGGAGACGTGGAGGTAGTTGAGGAGTGAGAGGGGGTTGAGAGGGTGGGACAGACTGTTGACTCGGTTGAAGAAACGTAGCCAGTCTTGATTTTGAGAACTGCAATAACGAGGTTGATGTGACCATATGCAATGTCGTCCGGGAGTTGGTCTTTGATCAGTCTCAGAGAGGCTACGTCTGGGGGAAGGGGAGGAAGCTTGCTATTATGACGGAGGAACTGTAATGGAAGAGAAGGGCTAACTTGAGAATATTGGCTCTCTTCTGATGGCGATTGTGATGGTATCTTCCAACTCTGCTGTCAAACCGGCTTCAGGCAAACACACACACACACACAATATAATCAAGAACTAGAACTAGTAGAAAGGGAGCCCTTCTCTCTACCTCTGCGATAGTCGACAAAGTATCCCATTTCCAGCGCCTTTGCCAGGTGGCCCAGTACAGTAGATCCAGTGAGAGATCTCCGTTTCATTATCTCCTCCTTCACCCACACAACAACAACAACAACAACAAAAACACCATTCACCTGAGCCAGTATATACATATGGTGGAGATTGTGTACTATGACAGTGATGTACTACCAATAAGCCAGGATGCATTAATGTGTATAATGGTGCATTAATGTATGTACCACTGAGAGCTTTTCCTGAGTGAAGGCAGAGTATGATGTCATGATTGTGTCTGTAAGAGCCCCGACAAATTGGCACCTCTTCACCAGTTTCTCCTGCACCCAACACAATACCACAATAGATCAGAACACAAGTTATATCCTGACACAGAAGCATTGTCATACTTTGCATGTCAAGGGTTAGTTTTAAAACTCATATAGAACTATGTAAACAATTCCCCTCGACCGTTTTGCTATGGTAAACCGTCCTGCACCTGATCGATTTGCAAAAACAGAATTTATTGGCTAGCGAATTGTTAACAAACTTTGACGATGGTGGGTGCCGACTGTGGCCGCGTCGAGGCTGCAGACAGGTGGGCATCCATCGGAAAATCAACATCTCGAGTCCCGCAAAAATTGCCGATCGTCTCCAGAAACTTGTCTCCATACTTCTGTAGCCAAACCTCAGACACTCCTTCTACCGTCTTCATACTCTCCAGAGTTTGCGGTCTGCACAAAAAAACCTCTAACTGAAACCTCATAAAATTAAAAAAACTGAATAAGGGACAACTTGGGGACATCCATTTTCAAATATCACACGATTGTCTCTCTGTCTATCTCGCCTTTCCTAGTTACTTCTCTCCCTCTACACATACCGAGCCCTGGTCAGGTCAGCAAGCAGTCCGTTGCTGCACACGAGAAATGGAGCAATCTGCACGTCTCTCGCCAAGTCATTGCGAAATACCAGCAGATGCTGGTACAATACGTTCTGTGGGAATACACACAAACCATCGTTTACATTGATATTGCACCACATTTAGCGACAACTCAGGAAATAGCTTTCTAGATTTTATACCCTATCGCCATCGAAAGGCCTTTTCAATGTACAGTATAAAAATTGCAGAACTTGTTTCTAACCTCTAGTTTGGTGATGGTGGGGTTTTTGGGAGGTTGTTGTGGTGTGGGTGCAGTGACCACTCTCTCCACCTCCACCACATCATAGCACTCCTCCTGCTCCACAGTTGGTAGGTACTCTGCCACTGGACCGCCACCACCACTGCTACCTCCAGTAGGTGATAGTGCGTGGGTAGTGGGTGTGCTCCTTGGGAGGATGAAGGGAGGTAGGACCTGGTTGGACTGTGTGTGTGTGTGTGTGTGTGTGTGTGTGAGGGAGGTGGATTAAGTGTGCCTTAAACTGAAAATCCAGACGGTTACTTTGGAGCTGGAAGTGCTTCTGCTGACAGCATTTCACGATTTGGAGTCAGTTTCAGTTTGTGACCTTCTCCCATCCACCGGCTACCTTTGTCTTCAAGGAACAACAGAGAGAACAGTATGAAACTTCCGAGAGTATTTTTATGCAGAAAAATTATGGACGGTTCTCAATGGCAAAATTTGTGAAATCTCTATCCACATTTAGTGAAACCTTCGAAAAAGGCTTTGGGGATATCGAAAGTGTCCTAAATTCAGAGGTATCCCTTATTCAGAGATGTCCTTCGTAGTGAGGTGTCCTACACATTCAGAGGGCAGAGGTTCCATGGGAAGAGGACTAGGGTAGGGAGGGGAAGACACACTTGAGGTAGTGACAGTACAGCCATGTCCACCAGGAACAGCTTCTTCTCTGAGGTAGCCTTCCAGTCTCAAATGTTTCCCTGACGAGAGAGAAGAGACGAAAGAAAGAGAGAGAGAGGGGAAGCAGCATACACAGTAATACTCTCGTTTGTCAAGACTCACCAAATGCTTTCCACCATTTCTCGCTGTGATGTCTGTACAGAATTGAGACCAAAGACAGTTATCCAGTTCTACTTATACGCAGCGTGACTTACAGTCCCTTGGCATATGTAGAAATTCTGGTGAAAGGAACTGCTTTTCGGATTTTCTATAAAAAAAAGAGTGAAGAAAATAAGTTTAGCATATTTTTACGGGTGTTATCATTTTTGAGGAGCTATATAGGGGCCAACAAAGCATGTACAGATTTTGTGATTATTCAACTATAATAACATACATACATAGTCATCAACTTACAGAGCCTCTGAGGACCAGCACATATGTTCCCAGTCCATATCTCCCTCCACAGCTCTGTACATATACATATGTGGGAGAATTGGTTTGAGATGGAGATGTATGATATGTTTTTCATTACTTCATATAATCGTGGTACACTGTTTTATATTGTCTAGCCTATCCCCTAGGAACCTTCGTGACCTTCGCTTACTAAACCTTGATTGATATGAAGAAAGAACCAAAATACGTTGCTCTAAACCTCAGCTGTTGTCATGAGGAGTCTGGCTTCGGCGGAGTAGTCTGTGGCCTTATTGACGATGGATTTGCTCAGAGTTGGCTGGGTGAGTCTGCAGGGACAGAGTGAGTGAGAGATGAAGATAGCGAAGACAGCACAAAGGGCTCAGAACCAGATAATGCCCGACATTGACACACTAAAGCAACCCCATTATCATCAGTCACCCCTGAAGTTGCATTGCACTGCACACTCCAGCCATAATCCAGTTATGTAGGATAGTTAGTTGGCCTGTCTTTCTTCTCACATACTTGCTAAAAGTACGACAAAATTAGGACACCTCAAGCCACGCTAGGACACCTCAAAACATGGGCCAAGCCATTATCAAAATTCACACCTGAGGTACATAGATTGCACTGCACTCTCCAGCTACAGTCAAGGTATTCAGGATGGTTTGTCAGCCTATTTTCCTTCACATGCTCACTTAAAAGTACGAAAATTTAGGCCACCCTAACCTTCCTCACATACCAAGTACTGCTCTCTACCTTAGCCTGCAGTTGTCGCAGCAGTCAGTACGGCCACCCACTGACGAGGACACCCTCCTCATGAAATGAGACAGCAACATTCTGGGGGGAAAACGTACATGTTTCACACACACATCTCTCTCTCTCTCTCTCTCTCTCTCTTTTCTCGTTCACTAACTTTCGTCTGCAACCGATAGAGGCCAGGTATTTCTCCATCTTTGCGATGGTTTCCAGTTTGTGCTGCTTGAACTTTTTGTCGCCCAAATCCTTCACAAAATACCTACAAATATACTTATAGACAATTCCATGCAATTGTTCAACAGTTTGACAAGGTATAAATTTCATCCAACTAACCCATCTCTAAGGAGGACACCTAGGGAAAGGAGGACGGACACCTCTCTAAGAACACATTTTCCCTAATATACCCAAGAACAGTTCTTGCATGCGATTTATCCATTGAATAAGGACACCTCACTAATATGGACACTTTCTTCTGTCCCATTGGTGTCCGGATTAGAGGGGTTCAACTCTAGGTATATACACGTGCTGACCTGCTCAGGTTGAAATCAGCAGTCTTATAGAACACACAGCACTTGCTGGCAGCCCTGCACAGTGGACAGAAAATAAAGGGCATATATACTGTCCAAGAGTTTATTTTTTACCCGTCACGGCCAGCCCGTCCTATTTCCTGATAGTAGCTCTCAATGTCTTTTGGAGCTATAGAAAAAATTTGTGAATTTCGAGGTTGAACTATTTTTTCCATGTATATACCTCCATAATGTATGATGGTTCGTATGTCGGGTTTGTCAATGCCCATGCCAAAGGCGACAGTAGCCACAATACACTGGAGTTCATCTCTCAGGAACTTGTGGTGGACCGACTTCCTCGTATCGGGCGACAGACCGGCATGGTACGCTTCGCACCTCACCCCCACATCTGCACCGTTGACCGATGGGACAGGAGAGTGAATCCGGGACAAATTATTAATCACTTCTCCACTTAACTTTCTATAAAGCTTAATTACCCCACTAGTACACAAATCTTTCATTGATACAACCATTCATCATACACAAATCTTTGCTGCATTCTTCCTGCTAGTATTTAAAATATTTTCAACCCATTAAAAGAAAGAAGTATATAACAATTTACTTTTCATTAGCGTGGCAATTGTTGAAGTGGTGTCTCTAGTTGGACAATAGATTATCGTAGCTCCTTCGAAACTGTACGTCACTCTGAATAATGAAATTAACACAGAACCATAGAAATACGGATACATCGGATATTCTACCTCTTCTCTGTCTTGGTAGCTGCCATCAGTGGCTTCAGATCAGTGAGAGCATTGTCTGATTTCGACCAAACCTCCAAATACAAGTTCGCTCTGCATTACACAAGTACAGAGGTCAATCATTGGCTAACACGAGAACACAAGAGAAACTGTTGAATTACAACCGTTGTGCTTGTGAAGGCCACCGCATCACAAAATGCTCACCCTTAATGTTTTTAGGCTACATCAGAGTTTATTGCGTCTGCTGGATTTTACGAAGCAACCAGAAAAGGAGAGGAGAGATATATGTTAAGTATACACCCATCAAAGCCAGTGTAGTAAGATAGAGAGAGGGAGTAAGGGTATGCCAGTTGAAGCCAGTGTAGTAAGATAGAGAGAGGGAGTAAGGGTATGCCAGTTGAAGCCAGTGTAGTAAGATAGAGAGAGGAGTAAGAGTATGCAGTTGAAGCAGGTAGTAAGTAGAAGGGAGTAAGGTATGCCAGTTGAAGCCAGTGTAGTAAGATAGAGGGAGGGAGTAAGGTATGCCAGTTGAAGCCAGTGTAGTAAGATATAGGGAGGGAGTAAGGGTATGCCAGTTGAAGCCAGTGTAGTAAGATAGAGAGGGAGTAAGGGTATGCCAGTTGAAGCCAGTGTAGTAAGATAGAGAGAGGGAGTAAGGGTATGCCAGTTGAAGCCAGTGTATGTAAGATATCGGGAGGGAGTAAGGGTTATGCCAGTTGAAGCCAGTGTAGTAAGATATAGGGAGGACGTAGGGTATGCCAGTTGTAAGCCAGTGTAGTAAGATATAGGGAGGGAGTAGGGTATGCCAGTTTGAAGCTAGTGTAGTAGATATAGGGAGGGAGTAAAGGGTATGCCAGTTGAAGCAGTGTAGTAGATATAGGGAGGGGTAAGGGTATGCCAGTGATGCAGTGTAGTAAATATAGGGAGGAGTAAGGGTATGCCAGTTGAGCTAGTGTAGTAAGATATAGGGAGTAAGGGTATGCCAGTTGAACTAGTGTAGTAGATATAGGGATAAGGGTCAGTTGAAGCTGGTGTTGGTAAGATATGGGAGGGAGTAAGTGGGTGATCGCCTAGCCAGTTGAAGCCAGTGTAGTAAGATATGGGAGGGATAGTAAGGGTATGCCAGTTGAAGCCAGTGTAGTAAGATAGAGAGAGGGAGTAAGGGTATGCCAGTTGAAGCCAGTGTAGTAAGATAGAGAGAGGGAGTAAGGGTATGCCAGTTGAAGCCAGTGTAGTAAGATAGAGAGAGGGAGTAAGGGTATGCCAGTTGAAGCCAGTGTAGTAAGATATAGGGAGGGAGTAAGGGTATGCCAGTTGAAGCCAGTGTAGTAAGATAGAGAGAGGGAGTAAGGGTATGCCAGTTGAAGCCAGTGTAGTAAGATAGAGAGAGGGAGTAAGGGTACACCAAGTGTAGTAAGATAGAGAGAGGGAGTAAGGGTATGCCAGTTGAAGCCAGTGTAGTAAGATATAGGGAGGGAGTAAGGGTATGCCAGTTGAAGCTAGTGGAGAGGGAGTAAGGGTATATACACCAGTTGAAGCTGGTGTTGAGGTCACTGAGAGAGATCTATGATCTATGGATGTACACCTGTCGAAGCTGGTGTATGAGATGAGAGGGTCTCTGAGGTGGAGAGATGAGCAGATGTCTCTCCTGACAGGGGGCGTGGCCGTTGCCGTCAGAGCCAGGAACGGCACCTAAGGGTTAAAAACCGAGTTTGAAAAAATCTGAAATACGGTAGCATGTCGTGTGACCTACAAACCTGACATACAGTGTGTCACTCTTACCTGAGGAAGAGCGTTTCTCAGTGTCCCCAGTTCTCTGTAGTCGGCTCTGAAGTCGTGTCCCCACTGAGACACACAGTGAGCCTCATCCACTGCCACTGCCACTATACCTGCAGTGTCACATAATTATAGCTCGGCCTCAAGGGAACCACTGTTTTTTTTTTATAGCTCACCGACACGTTTGTCCAATTCCTGAATAAAACTCTGATTGTGGGACACGTACTCTGGGGTGACATACACGACTCTATACTCACCCCTGCCACGAGGGGAGGGGGAGAGAGAGAGAGAAAAGAGAGTGGTGGTGGGTATAAAGTTTAAATGAGAGACGGTGAGTTTGGGGAAGCATTACTTCATGATTTTCCCACGGGCAGAGGCAGAGGCCTCTTGAGCTGAACCCAGAAACACGGCTGGAATACCCTTCACTCTGTGGAGGGAGGTCAGGTGGGGGAAACTGTATAATATATGTAGCACCCTTGAAAGTTCTGTGAATGTGTACTTGCAAACAAGGCACGCAGGTATATACATACACATGCAGTGGGAATGGACCCGTTGGGACCAGGCATTATTTCTTTTATAGGGAGGTTGTCCTCTTCGGAGTGTGAAAAAAAATAGAAAGTTAACATTTGGGACCTGAGAGTGTCCTTTTTTTGCGAGGTTTTTCAATTGTTCAATTGTTCTTTATCACAGGTTGTATCTAGTGTATATACCATTGTAGTGACGAAGGCCGTCTGGAGCAGGGCCAGTACTCAAACAAACCTGAGAGCAGATACTTGGTCCTCCATGAGAGAGATGAGAGGAGACACGACCAGAACCAGTCCCCCACTCACCACCGCTGGGTACTGGTAGCACAGACTCTTGCCAAACCCTTCATCGCAACACAGAGAGAAACAGACTCTGTACTCACGCAGCAATACTCGTCAATGCAAGCTATATATATAGTACAAACGTAGTATCCTAAAGTAGCTTTTGGAGAAAGATGATACTGAGGACCTCTCCTTCACCAATTACTCAAAAATCAGAACACCTTTCAATCATAATTTAAGCACAATGTGACAACGTATTAATCCCATAATTAGCACACATAACGAGTCAAGGAAGATGAGTGTATGTATGTCAGTGTGTTATATATAATATACCAGTGGCCAGGACGGCACAGTTATCTCGTTTCTGGAACACCAGAGAATGTATTATCTTCCACTGTTCCCTGCAAGACACACACGTGCAATATAGTTTCCCATCAAGAAAGTTACATCGCGGAAACTGTCTGTTACATAATATTATACATATAATACGGTCACGCGTGCAGATCACACATGGACAGACACAACAGTAACACAGTGTGAATGAACTGACGGCTTGAAGTTTGAGTGGCCAAATCTTCTCTTCAACAAGTCAATGTCCTCTTGTTTAGGTGGAGGACAGCCTACAACGTCACAGTGTTGTATCATTGATGAGTTGTGGATGGAGAGAGGGGAAGGAGACTGACCTAGGAGAGCTGGGTCAAAGAGATTGGTGATGCCTTTATCCTTGGCCTCCTCTTCCAGTGTCTTGGCGGCCTCCCCATCCCACCACTCCTCCCCCTCCTCCTCCTCATCCTCTTCACCCCACACTCCGTTCTCATTCGGTTCTCCATCTCCTTCGACTGTCTTGTCCTCATCATCCAACTACAAGCAAACAGAGACCAATAGTTTTGGTACGGACACAAACTATAGCAGTTTCCTTGCGAGTTAGAATCTTTCTGTGAATGGTGCTGTCCCGTAAATAGAGATGTTTATATGACTGTTACTGCCTTTGGTAATTACTTAATACACTGTTTATATTTTCCTTCTGTTGTTTCACGACCTCCGTTTAGTATGAAGGAAGGGTGTGCATTAATAGGGGTTTAGTGTGAACAAAAACCACAAATGCACAACGTTCTATGCAAAAATATATATACATGACGCGAACAACTTGGAATTGTGCAAACCTTTGCCAAATCTTGATCTGAGACACCTTCCAAGAAGCTATCAAACTCCACCATCGACTGGTCCAGCACTCCCTCTCCCCCCCTACTTTTCTCTATCCCCACTCCGCTCCCTTGATCTCTATCACCCACTCCTCCTCCACCAAACACTAGACCTATCCGTCCACCATCAGTGGTGTCCGTATCTACAGGACCTGGGGCAGGTGGAGATGCAGCTACATAGGGCGAGATTTTTCTTGGGACTTTAAGTAGTGTTGGGCTCTGGGAGGCAGCTGTGTTAGAACTTTCAGGTTGAGGACTGTTTGAAGAAGAGATTGTTCGTCGTTTGACAGCAGAGGAAGGAGAGATAAAGGAGGTAGGGAGGGATATTGGAGGGGTGAAACTAGTAGTACGTTGATGATTTTTAGTCGTCGAGGAAAGGTTTGTGGGTTGTGGAGACACAGGTGGCGCAATTTTCATCGCCATGTGGTCTGGAAACTCACTCATGGCATCCTCAAATCTGTCTTCATTCTCGTATTCCACAACGTCATTACTGGGTGTTGGAGGTACACAACTCACATGACCGTCATGTGACTCGGTCTCAGGGGTGATGTCATCAGGGTCAACAGCCAGGTTCTCTTGCAGCCTCTTACCTCCCGTCGCAGATGTTTTACTGAGAGCCAGGCTACTAGGAGTGCGCCTTTCTCCCTCTCTCGCTCCTGGAGCCATGTCTCCATTTGCATCACCGTCAATACATTTACCCATAGTCTCTGGTGCTGCTGGGTCTTCCGAGAACCCCTCGTCTCCAGTCGAGCAGAGCTGCGTGAACTCTTCCAGAAGGTTCTGGGCTTCTTCCAGCAGTCTCGTCCCCTCCTCCGGCAAACCTGAGACAGTTAGTTTTGTTCTTAGCTAGCTGCATGTTCTGTTGTGGTGTGGCTCGCCTGGTCTGACTGAATTGCCAGTTCTTTTCAAGAGGCTCACGGCCTGCATAGAGAACTTCACGCTGCGCTGTAGAGACAGCAGCTTCTCTTGCATAACCCGGAGCTCCGCCATCGGCGTCCCCGTCGCGCTGTGTGACCTTTCGACCTTCTGCAGGGTGTTTTCTATTAAAAGCGCACCAAGGGGGAGTCGATCGTCTTTTTCTTGCTATATAGAGCGGCCGAAATTGTACGCTTGCGCTCACTCTAGAGCACAGAATCCCTTTCCCGTTTCGTCTATATATACCAGCAGCCCGACCCGACCGGCGATGAACAAGCTGAACATCAAGGAGGCGAACGAGCACTTGAAGCAGCTTCACCGCCGAGTCATCGAGCTGGAGAACCAGGTACACATGCACGCCCTCCACAGTCAGGAACTGGAGAAGACGAATGCGGAGCTGAGGGCTCGACTGGAAGCCGCCGAACTGAGCAGGCAGCGAGAACTCGAGGCCAAAGACGCCCAGAATGCAGAGCTGGTTAGTCGACTGGGTGAGGGCGAGGCGCGGGTTGACGTACTGTTGCGGGCGGCGGAGGAGAGGGATCGGCTGGTGGAAGACTTGGAGGTAAAGGCGCGGCTGTTTTACGAAGTGGTGGAACACAGAGCTGCTCTCGGAAGAATTGTGGAGGTTTTGGACGAGATTCACAAGCAGAAAAGGGCGTCAGAGAAGGCGAGTCCGGCGAGCCCAGCAAAGCTAAACGGAGAGAGACTAGATGAAAGCAACAGAACTTCGCCAGCAGATAGCAATGGTACCCAATCTCCCCCATACTTAGAGAGTCCTCATGTGAATAGTATCACATGACCTTGTTCCCGCAACACACTGATCTGAGGTATACAATCGTCATGATTTTTGAAGCAAATACAGCCATAATCTCGTTATGTATATACAATGATTCTTACAAAGTGGATATATTGTGGCTCTGAAAAATTACGCCTTGCACATAAAATATCGGTGTTCATTGAAAATCAGTCTTTCTTGGAAAGAAATGGGGCAGCCCATGCAAGTCCATCTTCTGTTTTACCTGAATAAAGACCGCGGTAAAACAGCGATCAGAGTGTCCAGGCACTTGTGCACCCATTAACACTTAACCAGTTACAGACACATAAATGTGTCCAGAGCCTCCATAAGTCCATAAGAATTTATATGGGGGTTATAATACTAGGCACCAATACTTTATACATCAATTTCTGCTATTTAAGCAAATCCCCAAAGCATCCAAAGGTATTGAGCTATAGAGCTTCAGTAGTGGGTATATACTGCTGAGGGGTTGCAGCACCGGCAGTATTATAAACCAACCTCGAGGGATGTATTCGCAGCCTATCCATCCTCTATATCCCAGAGATCGCAGGGTCTGAAACACAAAGGGGTAATTGATCTCCCCCTCGATCGTCAGGTTCGTGACGATACGGCACCTGAGCTATCTGTATGTGACCTGCCAACAACAAACAGACAGTTTCACTTATATCAGTATTGTGCTTCTGTGCTATAATTATGTATTAGATACCCACCTACGTGATCAATATTGCGAGTCAGAAAATCACAGAGGTTCCCATCTAGCATTTGAGCATGATAAAAATCCTGAGCAACAATAGAAATAGCGTAGCCCATTCCGTTGTTCATCTAGGTTAACTCACAAATTCCAATTTAACATTGTCTCGGGCAACTTTCTTAATGATATCAATCCCTGAATTAGTGTAAGAAATTATGAGAAACGTAAAAAATTTTGCAAAGAGAATACCTTGTTTCTGATGCTGTAGAAAGTAGTGTGGAATGACTGAAATAGCCTCTATGAGAACAGTTACATTTTTCTGCAAAGAGAGAGGTCTCCAATACACTTCCTATTAAGTGCACTACACTAGAGCTCTGTATATACCTTACTGCATTCATCAGCAGCAAACTGAAGATTGGAGATGTAAGTTGCATGGGCCCTCTGCCAGAGAGGATCAGTCTGCTGCACCTCTCTATCAAAAGCACCAGCCATTATGTGAATCCTGTGCAGAAAAGTCTTGAAAATTGCTAATGGTGCCCGTGTATTTACGATACCTCGGACATTTTAGAGCAAGGGCCCAGTCCAGTGTTGTCAGTAGAATCGTTCTAAAGTCTGCTTCTCTGCCAGGAACTGCAGCAAGTCCTTTATCTCCCGGTGCACCTTGCCACACCATACAATGATGGTCAGACACTGTCGTTACAGATTGAAGCTACTGACCACCTACCGTAGGGGGTAGACATGTTGACGACTTCCACTCCAGCGTTCTCCTTGGCTGCCACCACAGCTTCTCTCTCACAATGGGCCACCACCTCCGACCCAAACTCCACGGCGCGAAATCCTGCGCCACAACACGCATCGAACAAATCAGCCGCTGTTTAGACCTCACCACATGCGGCAGCGGCTCTGAAACGGTCCAGAAGCTCGCGTTCCTTGAACATAAAAGAGATGTTGGCAGCCAACTCCATCGTTTACTCCAAACCCCACCCACAATGATCCACGTGATTTTGCGCATGCGCACACACATTGCTCACGCGCATGCGCACTATCTTGCAAAGCTCGAGCAGATGGGCGTGCGAGTGAGGTTTGCCCCGAGTCCGACTGGTCTCCTGCACCTCGGGGGCGCCAGGACAGCGCTCTTCAACTACCTGTTTGCCTCGGGCCACAAGGGACAGTGTATCCTTAGGATCGAGGATACAGACCAGGTCCCGTGTGCTTGCACACACTGTGTGAAGCAGCAATACCTAACACATGATGCCTAGCAGAGCCATATAGCTACCTAGCAGTTAACCCACACGTCACATACTATATTATACACCCCATTGCATATGTGTCAATGTGATACCTTACGTATGAGCTGTTGAGTTTGTGTGTGTGTGTGTGTGTGTGTGTGTCGAGGAGAGAATGTTTTGTCGCAGGGTCGGTTGGTTCCCGGGTCGAAGGAGGGTCTGGAGGAGTCACTACAGTGGCTGGGGGTCCAGTTCCACGAGTCTCCCTCCAAAGGAGGACCATACGGTCCTTACATTCAGGTATGTTTTCTATGTACACTGAAACGTGCTCAACGAGATCACCCAAACTTAAAATCACGTTCTCCCCTGGTACACACACTGTATGCGCATGCTCCAATTAAATGGCGCGGGCGTGCACATTTAAAAGTCCAAAAGTTGATCTTACAGCCAGGAGGAGCACAGCAATACAACAATACAGGTGGCTAAAATGTCTATTTTTGTTCCCCCCTCTCTACACACTGTGGCCATAGTCTGAACGTCTCTCACTATACCAACAATATGCAAGAGAACTACTCAATGTAAGTGGGACTTTTCCTCCACCTCAGTTCTTTTAGAACAGGCTGCATTGTCCGCAGGGAGGGAGTGGTTACCCGTGTTTCTGCGGCAAGGAGAGGCTGCAGTCTCTCCGGCAGCGAGGAACGACTGGCTACGACAGGCGGTGCAGGAAGTTGAGCAGACGGCAGGCAAACGAGGAAATGAGCAGGGGCTCCCCTTTTACCGTCAGACTGAAGGTAAATGTGAGGCTGTATATACCTAAACTCTGGCCCACAGTTTGTAAACCAATGACAGGACTTTTGTATACTCTCCACTGTTGAATAATAATCTCTTCCTAGAATCAGGAAGAGCGAGTTATTTGCACTTGGAGTTTTCTATACACCTAAACACAACCAAACGTTTGACCTGATTGTTTGTATGAGCCAAGTAGAAGGACCAATGTACGATGAATAGCTTTAAATAATTTAGGAGCAGCAGCTGAGAGAAAATAATGTTCATGGAGTTGCTTCTCCCACTGTTCAATTATATTTTGTACCCACAACAAAATTTGGAGGAAATTCTAGGTAATTTTAGAACCACAATGTTTTTTGTGCATCCTTAGGGGGATGGTATTGGGATACTGTTCCCCCGCAGTTTCATTGGTTGTTGGTGGACACGGGCACCTAGCATCACAGACGTATGGGAGTCGGTATATATACCATTGTTGTACATTACATCATTCTTACGTCGTTTTAAACGTTCTCCAGGTGCCAGAGAATGAAGTAGTGTGCGTGGAGGATGCAGTGTACGGCAGAGTTGAAATTAAAAGCTCGACCATCGAAGATCAAGTTTTGTTGAAAACTGACGGGTTTCCCACCTACCACTTTGCCTGTGTCGTGGACGACCACTGCATGGAGATATCACACGTCCTCCGGGGAGAGGTATGTATGAGATAGAAAAGCTATTGCGTTGGACACGGTGAAAGTGTTCCCTCGCGAATTTAGTGTGCAAGGACCTTCTGTACGGCAATCCACAGAGGTTTGTCGCGAATTTTATTCCGTAGAAAATTTTTCTCCCCCTAGAATTTCCCGCTGATGTCCGTCACAGTATGTGACCTATGTAGGCATTTGTAAATACCGTACTGGGGCAATTTGGACATTTTTTACGAGCGAGTAATCTGTTGGTAACTAGACCAGCACGAAAAGCCAATTGTGACATTACAAGGCCCACACATACACAAATATACCAGGTTTACTATGTAAGCAATAGACTTGTCTCACGGGCTGCTGGTTTTCCGGGGGAAATTGGCCAGACTGGCATTATACAAACTTGTACAATTATACTCTATAAGTATGTTTGTATTATGGTGGTTTTTATAGTGTGGGTGGAAAGATAATATATCAGCTGGTTAGCTAGTCTAAGGTATTTGGTAATGAGTGAAGCACAAATGGACCTCATAGAGCATTAACTCTTCTGTTTGGCTATAATGTTAGTATAAGTTGTACATATAGCTCTCATAATGAAATGAGCTTTTTTATACTACACTTTCACCAATGAACTATAGTACATTGGGTTTTTGAGTTATGCAAAATGAAATTCTGACACATTATTATTCTCAAGGAGTGGTTGCTTTCCACTGCGAAGCATTGTCTTCTCTACTCCAGTTTGGGCTGGAAGCCACCGCAGTTTGTCCATCTTCCACTCCTGGTTTCAAGGTCAACAACGCTCAATAGTGTATATATATACAGCGAGAAACGACACATACACACACACACTGCAATTCATTGAGACGTAACCATACTCACAACCCTTCCTCAATCTCTTTGTGTGTGTGTATGTTTGCGCGTGTTGATAGGGCCATCGGCTGTTTTTATTAGATTTGCAGTGCCAGCGATGCTCTGTTGTTCATTGACGTCGTGTAAACAGAATTTTTGGCCTTAAACAAACAACTCGGGTTTTCCTAGACTGTGGCCGTGCGAGTTTAGCACGGTAAGCAATAGTCGAATGTGCTGGCATAGTGCCCGACAAAGAACCAAGAAACGAGGGCTTTTCAACAACCACGCTTTCTATGGACACACACACACAGCGTATCTTGTGATGTGAAAAATAGAGCCGCCAAGCGTGCGTGCGATGTCGGGTATTGATGCACCTCTTCTTTACGTACATTGTCTAGCTATTGCTCCAGTGTATTACAGAAATAGCTACACCAACCCTGAACTTGTGTGTGTATATGACAACTTGGCAGCTGCTTTTCTAAGAGTTTTGGGAATTTGCTTCATAATTAGCCAGCGAGACATTCCTCAAGACGTAAAATCCCCCAGTGTGTCTTGAAGAAATGTTTGATCTCTCATTGTTTAACTTATTCAAATATTTCGCCGTGCGCTTGCGGTGACTCGTCCGGTGCGTGCTACTAAGTCTTCCTCCTCTCTTCTAAAGTACAATTGACTGGTGCCAGAGAGTGTCACGTCGCAGGCAGCAGAGTTGGAGACGTGACATTTGCCCTTCGGGAGTACTTTGCTCTCTTAGACACGTCTTGTTGTGTTTGTTTGTGTGTTGTGTTGAAGGCGCTGGCTCTCATGGTAAGACTTTGATCTCTGGGCCTACCAGACGGGACAACTAGCCACACCCAGCACCATGCATGATTCTAATGGATTCAGTGGTGCACGCAGTGTCACATTTTCTTTCACCGAGTGCATGGGGGTCACGTTTGCTGTCTGGAAGTACAAACACACGTTTTCTGTCGTCACAAAACAACTGTAGCCAGCATAATGATAATTGCCAGCAGTGTACTTTTGAGCAGAAGCCAGCCTACCTCGTCGTACGAATTACTTGATTTAACGTCTGGTTAGGAATATTTATTAGCTCAGACTACTGGGTGGACTCCCTTCATTTGCTCACTAATAATTAGTTATGTCATGTGCTCTTCATCATGTGCAGCACTGGAGAAAAGCTGTCTAAAAGACTACAGGGAACTTCTGTACTGAGCTACCAAGTATGTATGTATATCTACACCGCTATGAGTGAAGCACATTATGTATGGCAGGGCTTTTCGTTGAGGCAATTTTTTTTTCTTCGTTCTTTTAGTCCTGATATCACAACTAAAAATGCAACCCATTTTTTGAGAGCTGGTCACGTTATAGAAAAATCACAATTTTCATAATATTGTCATGAAAGCTTGTTTCACTCTCCGGTGGTGTAGGAGAGAGGGTTTCTGGCGGAGGCTGTGGCTGAGTTCCTCTGTCGGCTGGGGTGGAGTGGAGGAGGAGAGAGAGAAGGCCGGAGTCTGGAGGAGCTGGCCGCTAACTTCTCTCTGTCTGGGATCAGCAGGAGCCCCGCTACAGTAGACGAGGGGAAACTAATGTCGACGAACAAGAGACACTTCCGCAGACATCTCCACGATCCAGAGTCTGCTGCAGTCCTGGCCAGAAAACTGGCAGAGTGTGTCAAGACAACACTCACGTGGGCTATCCTACAATTAATCATGTGTCGTTACTGATAAAAGTCTAAATATGTAGTTTCGTGGTTTCTGCAAAAATTCACTTGTTCACTAAGTGTTACCCATCCCATAGTTGGCACTGGCCCTGTGGTATAGGCAATATCAGTAACATTTTCCCATACAACAGTCATCTAGAAAGAAAACAGAAGCACTGTGATATTAGATATCCTAATGGTGTATATATGCACTAGTGCCCTATAGAACGTTCTGTGGGAGAGCAAGTTCCGGCTCAATTGGCAAAGAATTAAGCAGCTAAGTGGCTGTGTTGGATTAAACTGAAAATTGCCCCATTATTGCATTAGCCCGGAGCACACGTGGTGTCTTACAAGGCACCGCTACGCACTGGCCCTGTTGGAACAGTACAGCCGCTCTGTTGCAGATGTAGAAGTGTTCTGCCAACTCGCTCGCATACCAGCGAAAGAGCCAGGCTCGTAAGCTCAGTACTGTCGCAGTGGAAACCTGTTGCATTTTCTGGCAGGCTTGTTTTTAGTGGCCGTAATTGCTCGCTGCGTGGGACTGGCCAGGAACAGACGAAACATTGGCAGAGTTTTCGGCACTTTTCGCGGTTGAATTTTCGTTGCGCTGTTGCTGTTGCAGTTTTGTGGGCAAATAGTGGTGCTGTATATCAACTCTGTTTGAGACCAACATCAGCTGAAACCCCCACTGCACACAAATCCTGGCATCCTTCGCCCGCTCCACTTTAGTATGATAATTGAACACTTATTTCCTCGGGGGTTAGCCCAATCAGGCGCCCACCCCCAAGGGAGCTTCTCTTTGTGTGTGTTTCCCTACCCCTGCATTCGGCCAGCAAGTGTTTGTTTATCAGCTGATGCCATGTTTACATTACGATGAGTGTTGATTTTTATGGAAGAGCACAAACAGTTTTCTTTGCTGCAAACTGTCCATGTTCATGTTCAAATGATGTTCAGCAATGCATCAACTAGATTGCATTATTGGACACGTATGTCCTTTTTGTCTTGCAGAGTGCCGCACGATTCTAGTTCACTGGCACCCGAGTACCTCTTTCAAGTTCTGCAACTGCTAGAGGTCAGTGGCAGTTAGTTTACTGTCCCTGCAAGTACTGTCTGTGTGTGTGTGTGTATGTGTGACTGTGTGTGCACTAGGACAGGATCTCTCTTATTCCTCGAGTGCCAATTGACGCTCCATATTTCTGGACACCTCCCAGTGCCACTAAAGAATCCATACCCTCCCCAGACATTGCTGGTAGCCGTTTTAACTTAGTACTTAATCAGAAACCTCAACTTGCTAGCATAATAATAATTATAGTCTCTTCAAAGCATTGCTTATATATACTGTATGGAATACCTTTGGGCATGATTTTGTGTAAAAGCCTAGGTCTACAAACTCCCAATACTAAAAGCATAGAAACCTGCTTAGCCTGTAGCTAATATTCGAGTTGTGACCACTGCAGCCAGGTTGTTGGAAGAACTGAGTGGTAGGCTGCAGGAGTTGACTGACTTCTCCCAAGACTGTGTGGCTAAGGAGCTGAAGGGGGCGTCGGTAACCCTGGGTGTCCCTCACGGGGTCACCATGCAAGTCTGTCGGGCTGCCATTGTGGGGCAAGAGGTAATATGGACACCTGCTCAATCACACCCACTGACAACAACACAATTATTTCAACCCATAATGATAGGATTTGGTCCAAATTAACACCCATGTTACCTGGTAACTGTGCATAATAGCAAATAAGTGTCCTAGTGTCTTTTTTTACCCATGCCTGTACATATAGACACTTGTAAGTTATACACTATTCAAATTGTAAGTCTTATATGAGACAGTGTGCAGTAGATGAGTCTTATTACGTGAGTGTGTGCAGTAGACGAGATAGTCTTGTAGCAAGACAGCTTATTATGCCACTTGCAGAGGAGTCCTGGACTTGCTGGCGTGTGCAGTGTTCTCGGGAAAGAACAAGTCTTGGAGAGGTTCAAACTAGCTGCAATTGCAGTCAGATGACCAGCAGTACTACGCACTGCAGTATTGTTTGTTTGCCAGTACGGACTGTTTGGAATCAACGGGAAAAACTTTGAAACTGAACTGTTATGTACACTCCAGTTACAGCACTCTGCTGTACTGCCAGCATAACGGTCCTCCGTATGTATTACTGTCTGTGGAATGCGTTGCCATGACTTCTACAAAGCAAATGTTTACATCCAAGCATTCAGGATCCACTACGAGGGTCTCGGGACATTCCAAAGTCCACACAATAATACTAAACCTCCACAAAGTAAAACCACAAGTGTTTCCTTGCATATGGACGCCATCCATTACCATTGTGTGAAGGGGCGCCAGTATAAATTACAGCCATGTATGAAAAGTAAATAGAAGACATACCAGCAAGAAAGCTATGCCATATCGACAAAAAAGTGCAGCTGCTTCTTCAATCTCGTGCATAGATGAGCAATTACGCGGGACACCAGGGTCCATTGTGGACGAAGAAGGAAACGAACGAGAAAGAAACAACAAAACGGCTTTGTTTTATCAAAACCTCGGATCATGTTACGCTAACTTACGTCACACACACTTACGAGAGAGAGAGACAGTTGGATAACAGGTTGTGCACATGTGTGCATGTACTAGCTAATGTACTAGCTAATCGCAGGAGCCGTCTTTCCATCCGTCTAGCCAGCGTTCGTCAACCCTGGAGCAGTCAAATATCGGCTTGCCCAGTCTCACGTTGACATCGTTGTGCAGGTTGCACATCCACTGGGAGAACTGTATCCTGTTTTCTGTGGCTGGCGGACTCACCTTTAACCTGGCAAACAACAAATCAGAAAAACACATACGTACGTACGTACGTCTCCCCTTACTCTACGACTGCACACATATCAACAGTACACAAAGAAAATATGTATTGAGAATGCGTTTCAGCATAAACCAATTTTCTCACAAAACCACTGTCCCTTGAAAAGACCAAACATTGTAAGATATGCAATTAAGGACCTAACGTTTTGCCACACCAATAAACCATTGTGGCTGAAATGCATTTTGAAGAAGTAACAGAATATGCTCTCAAATAAATCATTATGAGGAGCCAAGAGAGCTCTTCGAGATATGCAAAAATTAGTCGCCCATTACTGAAAACAGACCCCCAGCCAAATGGGCCAGTACCGACAAAAATGTCTGTTGACATAATATAGAACCCAAATTCAACAGGAGACTTGGTAATAAAATCACAAACTAACTTGCTCCCTACGAAGAGTATAACTATTATCACACTCCATTAAAGTATTTTAGCCCAGAAAGCCAAAAGGTATAATTCACAAATGTGAGAAAAGCACGCTTCAATTAAAGAGAATTGAGAATTGCATATCGATGGAACAAAAAATATTGCAAAAATCATGAGTATAATGAGCAAACTATTATCTACCCATTAAAGTGTTTTCACCCAGATAAGCTATAATTACAACAAAGCATTTCACAAATGCATGCTTCAAAATGAGCATTGCGTTTACTAATTTGACGGAACAAAATGTCGCCGGTAAAACACATGAGCACATAAAAACTATTATCCACCCTTTTAAGTTTTAGCCCAGATAGCCTATAATTACAACAAGCATTTCACAAATTGTCAGTAAAGCATGCTCTAAAAAGAGCCCCTACGTCCACTGGTTTGCACTATGAGGCCATCTACATATCTACAGTTAACTACGGCAATGTGTACCCATACATATATATTATCTCTCACGTGCATACACTTTCCCTGTGTGCTTCAACTGGCTCTCGATGTATTTACCTCAGCTGCATGTGCTCTGCACACTCCTGGCAGGGATAGATCTTGGAGAAGAGGTGAATGAACTGCCTCATGTCAGTCTGCTGATCCTGTGACGGCGTCTCTGGATAGTAGGCAGCAATGGTGTGGAGGAACATCCAGGAACATCTACCCAGCTCAACCCCATCTGGTGGGCAGCCCCTGTTATTTGCCTCTGGGTCCTTGTACCATCATAATATAGACCAAGTAGGAGCAGTGGGTCGTGGGGAAATGATGTGTGTAGCAGTGCTCGTGAGGAGATATAATAGTACCAGGATAATAGGATATACCTCCTGCTTGCTGGCCTGGGTTCTGCTCCACGAGCTAAAGTCAGTGCAAACGCGACACTTTTGTGTCTTTCTTCCGCCACTGCTAGCTGACGCCATGTGGTTCCTCCACCACTACACGTTATTCACGATAGCTGCTTGCGTCATCGGCTTACGTAGTTCTGCATAGAGAGGCGGGGATACGGCCGTGATAATACTTAGCACTGCTGCAGGGGAAACAAAGCTCAGCTCGCGACGTCGGAGGCAAAACTGTAGGTGCGTTTCCCGACGGGTATAAATAAACATTACCTTGCTCGGCTCCAGCGTTGCGCGGATCGAGCTACAACCTTGTTTCCAGCTTAGCTATGCGGGAGGTAAAATGCGCAGCGGTTTGTAGCTAGTGCTAAGTGCGCGGCTAAGTGTTTGTGTGTGTGTGTGTGTGTGTGTGCAAAACTGAGCTTACTCCGTACGATGCAACATGTCTCTGCAGCAGACAGTTACAGCTGACTGAGGCCCTCTACAGCGGGTGGAACTGAGCAACTCGAGAAACGCAGCACACAAGGAGCTGGAGCCACACAGACGTCGGACCGGAACGCGAGGAAGATGAACGGATTTCACCATCCCGATGATGAGCTGTCAGAAGGAGGCGGAGGCGCAGGG